GGTACCGCACAGGCTCCAAGTTGCTGAGAGGAGAGTACGAGAAGCGTCGCGGGTCAACCCCTTGCGGATACTGATGCTCCAGCACAACACGGATGTTCACGTTCTCGGGCACCGAGCTATGACGGCGCTGTTGAGAGGAATCTTCTTTGGGCGACTTGCTCTTATCTGGGGGCGTAGCTGGCTGCTTAGATTGGGGTGACGCCGAAGCAGCTTCGATGGCTTTCCCATCGTCGGCTACTTCATATTCTATTAAGTTTGGGTTGTTGATCTCTCCTTGCCGTGTGCCCTGCAAAGGTTAGCTTGGATCGCGACCGTTCAGTAAGTAAACTTACGCGTGTTGGATACACAGTTCCCGGCATCATAACATATTCATCCAAGGTATGCATCAGTTTGGCGAAGTTGAATCCATGTCCCGGCTTGCTCGGGAGGAACCGTTGCCCAATGTCATGTTCGAAGCTGAGCATACAATCTTGATTTGGCATATACTTGGAAAGGTTGGTGTACCACTGGGGATATGTGCCGTACCAGGCTCCGACATCCGCGTTCAGATCGACCGACATGTATATATTCTCAACGTCTTCTGGCTTCTGTACAAGCAGCACAAAGTCGAACTCGCGTGGCAGGCCTGACTTCTGAAGCATGTTTTCTGTGAGCGTCCAAACGGCCTTGGCGTCCTCAACATCGTACTCTGATCCGTGTGGGCTTCGCTTCGATCGCACGGATCCTTGGATGCTCATCATGTGGAAGACCTTGTAGCTGCTCTTCATAGCTGCTTTCGGGTTCAACGAAGCAGATACGGGGGCTTGCGATACGCCTAGCGAACTCGACAAGCTGAAGTTCCACTGCAGGTTCTCTGGCGACACAGATCCGAACATCAGCTCTGGTGCATGCTTCAGGATCCGTGGATGCGACGCGCCTGGCTTCCGGGGCGTGTTAGGGTCACCGTCGTCGCCATGAACGGTGACTTCAATTTCGGCGCTTTTGAAACGGTGCGACTCTGGGTCATGGGGATGGAAGACAAAGTGCACCGAAACGAAGAAGAGGTTGTTAATGTCGGGTTCGTGAAGCGCGTTCGACCTGTAGTAGCCGTGTTGAAGTCGATTAACATGGGCGGAGATGTACGCGTTTCCAGGTAACCGGCGCTCATAGAGGCATTTCTTGTTGATTTGGAGTCGCTTCTTTGGTATATTTGGATCTTTGGGTGGAGGTTTGACTGTTACTCGACTTCTCTTGACAGGCGGATCAGGTGTTTGCTTTTCAGGTTCAGGTTCAGGTTCGTCGTTCTCTCCCTTGAGATGTCGCATCAAGGAGTGCATCGTAACGTAGAGATATGTCGAAGATGGCGTTCGCTAGACGCGCGGGTTGACGGTCACAGAGTATCAAGATGTAGTGCGTGCCCGCGTTGTCATCGACGCTACCGGCTACGGCGGTATTTCTGGTGAGTCTGGAATTGAGCTTATCATGGCTGCGACGCGATGCGGGAATGTTGAAAAAACGGAGAAGGGACGAAGGCCTGAGACGCGTCAGGTTGGATAGGAGCGAGATAGGTAACAAAGTTGGTGGCATAGGCCGAATGAGGCATGGATCTACATGTCTCAGTGGTGCTGGTGTTGAAACCAATAACCCCTACGTCATGCTGAGGTTAGCTCGAACCAACACAGGCACGCGCAGGTTCGCGACACCTGAATGGTCTGCCAGAAGACATGTGCGTAGAATTGCATCCATGGATTGCTGGATGAAGGTCAAGAGCGCGTTGCCGCGGACGTAAGCTCCTTATCAGCGCGCGTCTTTATCGCAAGCGAACCCCGCAGCATGGCCCAAAGAGGTGAGGCCTGTAGCGGTAGAGTCGGACTGGAGGATGGTGGGGATTCAAATACAATCTGGAGACACGTTGTAACGCTCCAGATCTTGGCTGCTTCTCATTCTACAATATGCAGTTGTGCCCAAAGGAGGTGTGTGACATGGTGCCATGTACGCGTGCGACCCCTGCTGACCATTTCGCGACAGCTTGACAAGCTCGTCATATCACAGCTCGGACTCCTTGCGCAACGTCGACTGGCAAGGGGCGTGAAGCTGAACCATGCTGAAGCTACCGTGAGTTCAACATGATATCACGTGGACGCTGCTAATACTCTCAGGCTTTAATCGCGAACAACCTCCAGGAAGTACGACCTCCGACATCGCGCGCATCTCCAGTCGAATGCTGAATGCACACAGCTTATCCGCGATGGAAACCACTCGGTCGCCGACCTCATGTCCATTGGCACGACGATGCTCGGTCGTCGCCATGTACAGCCCTCTGTTGTCGCCTCGCTCGGCGAGCTGATGGTTGAAGGCACCTTCCCAACCGGCACATACCTCGTTACCGTCCACAACCCAGTGTCCACCGACGATGGCGACCTCGAGAAGGCGCTATACGGATCATTCCTGCCAATTCCATCGAACGACATGTTTCCGCTACCCGATTCGAGTGTTTACGAGAGTACGAAGCAGCCAGGCGCGATCGTGGCTGTCAAGGGAGAGGCTGGCATAATTAAGCTGAACGAGGGGCGCAAGAGGATCAAGCTCAAGGTGAAGAGTATGGGAGATCGGCCAATTCAGGTATGGATATAATTATGCGACCACAGGCATGCGACTCACAAGATATAGGTCGGATCGCATTACCACTTCATTGAGACGAACCCGCAACTCCAATTCGACCGCGTACGAGCTCATGGATACCGCCTCGATATTCCCGCAGGCACATCGGTGCGCTTCGAGCCCGGCGATACCAAGACGGTCACCCTGGTACAAATTGGTGGTAACAAGATCATAAAGGGTGGAAACCAGATCGCTTCAGGCTTCATCGAGGACATGTCGGTCGCAAATGGCATCGTGGAGAGATTGAAGTCTGGCGGCTTCCTTCACGAGCCAGAGCCGCATGGTGACGCTGCACACATCGACATCTGCACCATGGAACGACTGTCCTATATCAGCATGTTCGGTCCGACGACTGGTGACCTGGTCCGACTAGGCGCCACAGACCTCTGGATCAAGGTCGAGAAAGACATGACCATATACGGCGACGAGTGCGCTTTCGGGGGAGGCAAAACACTGAGAGAAGGCATGGGACAAGCTGGAGGTGTATCAGACAAAGACTCGCTGGATACCGTCATTACGAACGCTTTGATTATCGACTGGTCTGGCATCTACAAAGCGGACATCGGAATCAAAGATGGCATGATCGTGGGTATTGGCAAGGCAGGCAATCCAGATGTCATGGACGGTGTTGACCCCAACTTGGTAGTCGGTTCATGCACCGATGTCATCTCTGCTGAACACAAGATTGTGACGGCCGGCGGTTTCGATTCTCACATCCACTTCATCTGTCCCCAACAAGCACATGAGGCTATAGCATCAGGCATCACGACCATGCTCGGAGGCGGCACAGGGCCCAGCACCGGCACAAACGCAACGACCTGCACTCCAGGCAAGACGCACATCCGACAAATGCTCCAAGCCATCGACACACTCCCCGTAAACTACGGCATAACTGGAAAAGGCAACGACGCCGAGCTCCGCCCCTTGCAACAACAAGCCGAAGCGGGCGTCTGCGGCCTCAAGCTCCACGAAGACTGGGGCAGCACCCCCGCCGCCATCGACGCCTGCCTGACCGTCTGCGACGAATACGACATCCAAACGCTCATCCACACCGACACGCTCAACGAATCCGGCTTCGTAGAGTCCACCATCGCCGCCATCAAAGGACGAACCATCCACACCTACCACACGGAAGGCGCAGGCGGCGGCCACGCCCCCGACATCATCAGCGTCGTCGAACTCGACAACGTGCTGCCTTCGTCTACGAACCCCACTCGCCCTTACACACGCAACACCCTAGACGAGCACCTCGACATGCTAATGGTATGCCACCACCTCTCCCGCAACATCCCCGAAGACGTCGCCTTCGCCGAATCCCGCATCCGCGCCGAGACCATCGCCGCCGAAGACGTCCTGCACGACCTCGGCGCTATCTCCATGATGTCCTCTGACTCGCAGGCCATGGGCCGCTGCGGCGAAGTCATTCTACGTACATGGAACACTGCGCATAAGAATAAAGTGCAGCGCGGTACGCTCAAGGAAGACGAGGGCACGGATGCGGATAACTTTAGGGTGAAGCGGTATATTAGCAAGTATACTGTTAACCCGGCGATAGCGCAGGGAATGGGTCATCTTGTGGGGAGTGTGGAGGTGGGTAAGGTGGCGGATCTTGTGCTTTGGACGCCGAGGAACTTTGGGGTTAAGCCGAGTTTGGTGGTTAAGAGTGGGTTTTGCTCGTATGCTCAGATGGTATGTCTTTCCGTTCCTCCTCCCTTCAATATCCTCTCCTCCTTCGTCAAGCGGATATCTAACACCTCCCAGGGCGATCCCAACGCCTCGATCCCCACCGTCGAGCCCATCATCATGCGGCCTATGTTCGCGCCTATGGTGCCTTCATCCAGCATCACGTTCGTCTCGCAAGCTTCCATTGCGTCTGGCGTCGTCAAGTCTTATGGCCTGCGCAAGCGCGTCGAGGCTGTGAAGAATTGTAGGAATATTGGTAAGAGGGATATGAAGTTCAATGATACGAAGCCCAAGATGAAGGTCGATCCCGAGAGGTATACGGTCGAAGCGGATGGCATGGTTTGTGAGGCGGAGCCTGCGGAGACGCTGCCGTTGACGCAGGGGTATTTTGTTTATTAGGGAAAGAAATTGAAGAATTAGTTCTGATGTTTAGTAAGGTTGTTCTGCTGTGTAAGTATCCATCTCCTGACAGTGAACGTGGTGTCCGATTGGCTCTCAGAGACAGAGTTTGTTCTTCGATATTCATACGAGCTACTGACTATTCATACAACAAGTAAGACTCAGTCTTAGCCCTGATAGACTGACAAGTACAATAATACGCTTAGAACGCTCAGAAAACAAAGCCTACAAGACTAACCCATAGTCTCCCAGACAGCCACATCAAAGTAACAATACGCTCAATCCCCCCTCATACACACCACCACCTCTTCCTGATGGTCGCCAGCTCGCAAGTCAGCCTTCTCTTTCTTGGTCATCGGACTTCTCTCCCGACTGCCACCCACAGTACTCTGTCTCTTCCGCTTGATCGTTGGCTCAAACTCGTGAGCGTTTGGGTTTAGCATGCCGGAGCCGCTGAGATCGGAGTGTGCTGCGACGCCACCGAGTGCTTGTGCAAGTTCAGGTCCCATGCCTGTGGTGTCGATATGATGTTCAAAGCTGCCGAGTTCTTCGCCAAGGGCACTGTAGAGCTGTCTCTCCAGACGGCCGGTACTGTCTATACTTGACAGTGACACTCCAGTCTTGTGGCAGGGCTTGAATGGAGACAGCTTATTGCTCTCGAAAGAAGCATTGGTATTCAGATGGGGGTCGATGGCATCCACATCGATGATCTCCACTACATCAGGGATATTCTTCTGGGCGTTGTGTGAGGATTCGTCTTTATCCTCAAAGATTGGTATATGTGCAGTCCGAGGACCTGAGTTCAACGATGGCAGCAAGCTCTGATCATGGCGCATTGCTTGATCAGATAGCCTCGGTGAGTCGGATGCCAGGCCTTCCTTCCGGCTCCTGATATTCACAGCTGAAGGGCCGTGAGCTGACCCAAACTTAGCAGGCTCAATGGTCGGAGGTGGCGCTTCGCTCCGACTGAACCTATACATACTTGAACGTGCCGGAGATGGGTCTCTCATGGAGATATCTGAGGTATGGGTTGGAAGCCTTTGCGCGAAGGGGTTCGGCGTCGGAACACGTTTCGCGTTTGGAAACGCAGTAGGCAATCGCGATTGCGAAGGCGGGCGATTCTCTTTGTTGCTTGAGAAGGAAGGGTGATTCATCGTAGGCTGTTTGTCATTAATCGCATCGTGGAACCGCTGATTAATTGGTGACTGCTTATTCGATGCGTTCCGTAGGGCATTATTGAAGTCCGAGTATGATGGCTTGCGCGCCATGGCCGCCGACGACGGGCGGTTGATAGGTGGATTGATGTCTGACTTTGGGGGACAGTAGTTGTAAGCAGTCGGTATGCGACCAGTATTCTCATGGCGTTGATTGCCTGATCCATGCGATAGCTCACGATTCTGCTTCGGTGGACTCATAGCTTGGATAATCTGCCCTAGCTGGTCATCTCGAAGAGTGACAACGAGCTGTTTCTCTTTTTCCTTCCTCGGCGGATGATCTTCCCATTCTGTACTCATGCCTTGGTCGTATTGGGACCTGTCAGGCATCCATGGTTGACTTTTCCGTGACAGATGTGAAGAAGCATACATGTAGTCAGGCATGGCCATGTCGCTGGTGGATCCCGACGTTCTTCTTGTTGACCATGTATCCATGCTAACGTCGTCGGCAGAATCCGTAAGGGAGTTGAAATTGTCGTCCCATATACCTGGGCGACCGTTGTTTCTGAAACCTGGAAGTGGCTTTGCGAATTGTGAGATAGGAGGCAGATGCGCATTAGAGCGTCGATTGGGTAAGGGAATCTGCGATCTAGCAAAGGCGGATGCCGATGGATGCGAGATTGGCGACTGCATGTTGATGTCGCCTGGGAAGGGCCGGGCCTTCGGTGTCCGAGAGTTTGTCGGGGACATTTGTGACAGATGCGTGGCTCGCTCGAGCGCATTGGGAAGGTATAGAGGGTTTCGGATAGGCCATGAGATGCCCGCCTGTTCTAAGACATCTGCTCCTTATTATGATCCATGTATGAGGGGTATGAGTTCCTTCGACGTACCTTTTGGAGCATGCTGGAATGAGAAGCAAACAATGTCGTTGGTCGTGCCAAGATCTACCTCTCCAGGACTTGCCGTCTTCATGATCAACTGTTCCGACAGCATTATCTTTATTCGCCCTTGTGGGTCGTGAACATTCCATGAGTTCTGCATAAGGTTCCGTTGGTGGAAGGGCGGGAACTCGAGGCATTGTTTCCGTTGACTTGAAGGATACTCGTTGATGGTGAGTGATCTCTTCTCTTGCGCTACATAGCGTCAGTCCAACGGTGATGCAGCATTGACTTGGGTGGGACATACCAATCTCTTGAGGCCATTTCGACGCTATGTCGAAGAAGCCACGACTATGCTAATCAGCATCGTGGTCCCATGTCCACAGCCCATGGTGTGAAGCTCACAAGACTCTAGCCCCATCAACGACCACCTGAACTGTGTACACAACCTTCTGGTTCGCCCTTCGTCGAGACTCGATCAGTGCCGAGGCTTTCGATGCGGTGGCCCATGAGTGTACGGAGATACGGAACGGTGTGGACGGCGGGAGAGTGCTGATGTAAGAGGTCAAAGTGGGCAACTGGCGGCCATCTACATGCTATCAGTATTGACGCCCAAGTATAAGACGTCTGCATGCAGGTGGGGTAGAGCAGGGTACTCACACTCCTCAGTTGAGACATAGCAGGCGGTCTTGAACTCCTGTATCGGTACGTGAGAATCCTTTGGGAAGAGGATCACGTCCCAGTCGTCGTAGCGCATGGCAGGCGTGCGATTGCTGCTGTTCGGGTCCAAAAGAGCAACAAGCAATTGGCAGTTGTGCCGGATCTGTGTTTGTGGAGAGGAGGAAGAAGCCCATTGTTTATGAGGGTTGAGGGCTGAGCGACGGCGGGTACGCCCGAGGTCCAGTGATGAGGAAGGCACGATTGTCACGGCGCAACGTCATGGCGCGAGGCAACTCACATCGTCAAAGGTCCGTGCAAATGCGATGAAGTGTAAATTGTATAAAATGGGCATGACTAGATCAGAACGCATGTTGCCGCATGCTCATGTAGCATCTCTCAAAAAGTCCTTCTACTAAAAACTCACTAACCGTCAGTCTGTGATGTACCTTCCATGGACCTTTGCAGCGACCTTGTACTAGAATCCACTAACCATCAGTCTGCGACGTTTCTTTCGATAGACATCCCCCGAAATACCCACAGCGCACGCAGCAAATCAACGCAAAACCTCGAAAGAAGTGCAATCTTCTAGCAAAGACGCGAACCTCCCGCCACGATAGAAATGAAACAGACTCTTGACGCCTTCTCTTGCTGCATGGGTATACCATATAATTCTTGTTCGCCAGACGCCTCGCTAAAGCATTATGCCTTCATTCCCCAGTTAAAGAATATAGCCACGTCGTGATAATGAAGTTTCATGCCCCAAGAACTCCTTGCTAAAGCGGCAAAACAGTATCTGATATGCGTATAACCAATGCGAGAGCGTACGATGCGCAGTTACTGCGGTGGAGGGAATTGCTGCGAGAAGGCACCGCCAAAGTCGGGCGAGCCGAAGCCGGGGCTGTTGGGGCCGTTGGGCTGGGTGGGGGTGAAACGGTAGTTGTTGAACGTGGGAGTGCCGTTCTGGCCGGCAGGGTTGCCCGTAGGAGCGTTCTGGCTGCCGGGTCGCTGACCACCGAGGCTTGCGTTCATCGACGGCGGGTAAGGAGAAGGCTGGCCAGCCTGGACGGGAAAGTTGCTACACAATGACGTTAGCAATATGTCTAAGGAGGGTAACGAGGTGGTAGACTCTGCGCGTGCCAATAGAACCAACAACAAACTAACAAAGGAAAGATTACAAGGCACTTGGAACAGAACGTTAGACGAATCAACCAAGCCAGCAAGCAAGCACGCAACCAAACACGCAGAAATAGAAGAATCGTGTGATTGGAAATGATGGCCAATCCTGCAAGGAGCAGCGCACAATCGTGAAGAAAAGGCAAGTCGAGAGAAAGCAGCATCCGGCCCATGCATGACTAGCTACATCCCTATGCTCCCAGAAAGATGAGTGGCACGCTTAGAAAGAAAGCCCGAATGGGAGAATAGATGGCCTGTTATACAAAGACTCCCTTCTATGGCCCTCCAGCAAGATGAGTGTCGTGAGAAGAAGTCGAGAACTTTTGGAGAACCGCCCGTTATAGAACTAAAGACCAAATCGCTCGAAATTCGTCATGCCGAGTCATGAAAGGGATCGTTGCAGTAAGCCAACGGGATGAACCATGACAGAAGCGCCGTGCAAGCAATACAGAGGGAAAGAATGCGCTTACTACAGTCGAGTTAGCATCAGACACAAAACCGCAACATGTCTTGTTGACTTACCTTCATCATCGGGCCGTAGCCACCGCCACCGCCGTAGGGGTGTTGCGGGGGCATACCCATGCCTGGGCCGAAGGGAACTGGTGGAGGTGGTGCAGGACGGTAAGGGGTGCCGGCTGGACCGGAGTTGTTCTGGGACCTACCCCAGCTAAGACGGACGCGAGAGTTACCGATGGGGTAGCCTTGCATTTGGTTGATAGCCATCTCGGCAGCGTGGCGCTGAACGAACTGAACGAAGCCGCAACCCTTGCCTGGGGGAATCTTGACGTATGTAATCTCGCCAAAGCCCTGGAAGAAGGAGCGGAGCTCGTCCTCGGTGACGTAGCCGGACAGACCGCCGACGAAGACAGTGGTGTTGTTCGGGTCAGTAAACTGGTTCATCGGCTGGGGTGCACCGTAGTAGCCACCCATGGGAGGAGCGCCCATAGAGTACATGCCCATGCCGGGGCCGCCGCCGCCTTGAGGCATGCCGCCCATTCCGCCGGGACCTCCGGGACCACCGCTCTTGTTCTTGGGTGTGGCGGTGGAGATACGCATGGGGCGGTTGCCGCAGTAGACGCCTTGCATCTCAGTGAGGGCCTTTTGCTGGTCCTCCTCGCTAGCGAACCGGACAAACCCGTAGCCGCGCGACATACCACTAATGGGGTCGGACATGATCTTGGCGGACTTGGTGGACTGGTACTTGTTCTGGAAGAGTTGTACGAGGACGAACTCGGTGACCTCGGGGCCCAAGTCTCCGACGAAGATGCTGAATTCGGGACCACGCTCATCGCGGCTGTTCGAGTCATTAGTGATCACTGTCGTATGTGGGTAGCCGGGTGAGACTTGCCTCCTGTCAGCAAGACCACCGCCAGAGGCCCAGTTCAGCTTGAACGGGCGGTTGGAGTTGGGGATCAGTTGGCCGTTGAGGCTAAGGGCCTTGGACGCAGCATCAGGGCTCGCGAAGTCGACGAAGCAATATCCAGCATTGCTGCTATGCGGTAGTTAGCCTGGAGACTTTTTCCTGTGTGGATTCCGTGCTTACCCGGAGAACTTGTCGCGGATCATCTTGACGTTGACAGTCTCGCCCATGTTGTACCAGATGCTGCGCACGAAGTTCTCGTCGATCCAGGGCTCGAGTTCACCCATCCTGCGTTGTGTTAGCATCGATGTGCCCCACCTAGTGAAAGGCCAGGCCACCCGAGCGCGCATGTCGCCATCTGAGATGCGCAATTCGCAACTCGGGTGCGTCCGCAGACTCACCAGAGAGTCGTCTTGCCCGCACCCTGGCCTTGGCCGTCACCACCAGCGCTGCCTGGCGGGCCCATGTTGCCCTGGGGTGGGAAGCCGTTGCCGGAAGCGTCCATGGGCTGACCCATGTCGCCGGGCTGCGGGGTCTGGTTGTTCATGTCGCCCTGGGGCTGGCCTTGGAATTGGTCGCCGTAGCTGTTGTTGAAAGACATGACTGATAGATCAAGCGGGGTAGTCGATTGAGCTAACGGAGGTGGGGAGTAAGGGTATGAGCTCTAATTATGATAGAGAACCGTAGCGTCGTTTATATAGTCTGCGCAGAAAAAGCAATTGTTAGTTCCGGTGAGTGTGCGCGCAGGAGGTCAGGCAGCGAGAGCAGGGTGAAGGAGCTGGAAGGGTGGCAGGCTGCACTTACCGATTAGATCCGGCTCCTTCTATCACTGCAGTCGCGGAGGCAGTAGAGAGTACAGGCCAAGGAACACGCCTAGGAGATGGTCGGGAAAAGCGGCGACAGTAACTCCAGGTCGCGCACGAAGGAGTGGGTGTAGGTGAGGGAGAGCGAAGGAGTGACCGTGAGGAAGCTCGAACGAAATCTGAGTGGGCGGGTCAGTACCGTAGTTTTCATGTCAGGCATCACATGCGGCGGGCGCACGAGGCCCATGTCACGACAGGTGCTCGCAACACCCACGGCAGTGAGAGCGCGTCGGGATGCGCGACGCTGGCTCGGGCTGGTGGCAGCGCTGCTGCAGGCCGCGCGACCAAGTCCGTGCAGGCGACGACGTCAGTAGGCGATGGACGCACATCGCGTAGCAGACGGGCGGTGGCCGAATTGATTGTGCAGTCCGCAGCTCCCATGCCCCGGTGCACGAAATTGTGCAGTGGGCGGCCCGCCAAGACGAGATGAAAATTGCTCATGAGATATACATACCGAAAAATCTCAAGGACACCGGCGAACTGGAGAAGCAGATGAGATCCAAACACCACAAACGCGAGAAATCGGAGAGGAAAGACGATCGACGACGGCGAGTGTTGGGCAGTGTGGGAGGAAGGTCGGTCGGTGGGCGGGGTCGGTAGAAGAGCGAAGAACTGCAGATGATGTACGGCGCCGAGAATCCGCTAGGATTTACTTCGCTTGGTTTTGGTAGCGATGACTGCGCGAACCTGGGGACGCGGATGGCGTAGACCAGTGCAGGTTTAAGCTTTCGATCGATACAAGGATTGCGCGACCCAAGGATGAAGCGGCTCCATTGCGAGTGGCCCATCGCATCTCGCTACAGAGGCTCAACACGGCTGCCACGCTGGCATCGACCAGATGAAGAACGGTGCCGGCTGCGTGCGATCTGCTCTGCGTTATTAATAGGCGACCCACCCCTGGCCGCGTAGATGACTTGCAGCCAGAAGTCGTCACCGGGCTTTCGCAATGTGCGGGGCGGTGCCTCACCGAGAGCCTCTGCAGTCTGCAGCCTTTCCAATCCATATCTCACCCATGCTCGCGCCGCATCGCTGGACTCTGTACTCAAGCCGCGCAGTTTTGCGCCGGTCGAATCACACACCTGTACCGCCATGGACCCCTCCATCCTCTCTCAGTGGTCCCACCGCCTGCAGCTAGACGGCCGGCCGCTGAGGCCTGCATCCAACCAGCTCGACAGACACATATCACGACCGTTGTGCGCTTGGAACACGTACACCAGACTGAGGAATATCAAATACAATGTTGTAATGTCTTCTATCATTCGTAGTGGTATCTTAGTAAGCAGATTCCTATCCTATCCTACATCGCCTGGCCAGGGACCTTCTCTGGGATGCCAGCAGCAGCCTTGGCCTCACCCAGCTGCTCACGGCCCTCGGCGAACACCTTGTCGAAGTCGTACTCGAACCATCTGATATCCGGGTTCAGTCCAGCAAACTTCCACTCGCCGTCGATCTTCTTGTACCAGTGCGTGTTGAAGCTGTGGGCATGGCCCTTGACGGCAACCTTGGTGCGGGACTCATCGGTGTACCTCTGATGGGGCACACGGAGCTGGTGGTACCCGGTAATCTCGTCCTCTGCAGTCTTCTCCCACCGCGTGCCGCCGATGAAGTGCTGTGTCTTGAGGAGAGGGTTGCCTAGTACGTTGGGGTCCGAGGCCATGGCGACGAACTCGTCTGCAGGCATGGCTTCCCAGATCTTGTCGAGGAAGGATCGGTAGTCGATCTTCAATGTTGGGGCGATGCATTTGCTAAGACGGTCCCAGTCCTGCGATGTGTAAGTGATTATCACTGAGCAGCGGTGCATGTCGACCGACCTTGCTATCGTAGCTGTCTGCCCACTCATAGCACGCCGACTGGCAACCCATAACGTCTGAGATTGTTAGTCATGCTCGCAAGAGACCGCAGAGAGGACCAACCATCGAACGTCGGCTTCAATTCGTTCTTCTCAAACATGATGACTTTTGTTCCTGGTGGTTCTGGTAGGCGAAAGTGTTACTGTTATAGTATGGTATTGCAATTATATCTCCTCCCATCGTTCCCTTCGTCTTTATATCTGTCGTGCTCCATATTCCAGCACTTCTATTTGCGTCCCCTTCTGCGACGTTTGGCTTCGGGTCCCCGCCCAACGGGGTTCCGCCATCCGCATACTCGAGACTGCCGGTGCGGTGCCAGCGGTCGCGAAACGGGGCCGAGTACATTTCTGGACTCGGAGGTCCCTATGTTTCGACACTGCCGACATGTTTCTACACTAGGATAGTGGAGTTACGTCGAAGATGTGCTGCAGGGCAGTTGCTGCCGCGACCCCTCGCGGGAGAGAGAAGGCGCACGGGCCACTGAAACACCAAACCTTCCGATGGTGCGCCGTGGCTTCAAACTTCCTTCATCTCCAGATATAGCAGTCGCGACAGATCGCGCGTCGACCCAGTTTTAATACTTGAGGAAGAGTCAGCGCCTTCAGTTCAAGCTTGATGATGCTGCGGTGACGCACCAGACAGCACTCCAGCGAACAACGACGTCAGAGCTATCGCAACCATACCGTATACCAAAGCACCGTCTCAATGACCAGCTCGTACCAGGACTAGACGGCAGTCTAAGTTAAAGGCGCACCTCATACAAGAAAAAAACCGAACAGGCCTACAGACTACATCAAGACAAAGACTTGCAAAGTAGGTGGCCCAAGGTCAACGTAGGCTCCAGGGTGTTTGTTTTTTCCTAGGCTGGCGTGGGCGCGCTCTATTCATTCAGGCTTGATGAGTCTCGCTGCTGAACGATAGAAAAACCGCTTCGCCTAAATTGCCTACTTCGCCAACCATGTCTCGCGAACAGACCAGGTTGACCCCCAAAGTTTGCGATCATTCAACCACCTCCAATCCTGCTTGGAAGATCATCATGAATTGATCACCCAGACGCCGTTCAGAGCGGCTGCTCGTTCTCTCTTCGCGCTTAAGGGATATATTTGGCGATGGGTAGAGTTGTTTGCGCGCGGCATCAATCTCAGACCCCAGCATGCAGTGTGATCACAGAAAGCGAGCCAATCGTCTACCCAGCGCTTCTGCATCTGTACGGAGCACTCAACGCGATCCTACAATGATGTTGAGAATAAATTGTTGCAGCGCGCTCTCTCTGAGAGCATAAAACGAGCTTCGCGCAAACTTGCCTCATCTCTCTGAATTCTTCGTACCGATCGTGCTCGTGGCAGTTTTGTTTCCCTTACCTATCGCTTCCACGCCAACCTAGGAAAGAACTGAACAGCCTGGAGCCTACATTGGCGCTGGGTTACCGCCTTTGCAAGCTTTTGGCTTAATGTAGCCTGCAGACCTGTTCAGTTTTTTTTCTTGTATAAGGTGCTTCACTTGCCTCACGACTACTGTCCAGTGGAGTTCCGGAATATCCAGCCAAACTCGTATTCTCCCAACAGACTCGAGATGACAGAGATACTCAGGTGGACACCGCCATCCTGGTGGGGCGGGGATGGCAATACGAAGCCTCTTCCTGCGAAAGGCATGCGTATCTTTGCGTCGCGTCAATTTGGTGGTGATCGTGTCAAACGAGTCAGTTCCGCTTACGCAAAAGCGAAGAAATGCAAAGTATGCAACTACAATGAGTGGCCTACTATTGCAGGAGGAGTCACTGTTGGCGTTCTGATAACGTCGGCTGACAAGGGATGTGCCGGCTGCTTGATACTATGCGGGATTGTACACAAATGTGCCTTGGTCTCCAAAAGCTCAAGCCGACCATTCGAGCTCGGCTTGGATCAAAGGGTATCATGCAGAGTGGAACGGTCACGACTCATCTTGGAATGCTACCCAGATGCGTCATGGGAGGTTTTCGATCCACAAGGTAAGTTTTTGATGGCTGCAGTTATTCATCACGAATTAATGTCTCCAGGTCGCAACAATCCATGGCGACTACCACGTCTTTCCCATGAAGCCGTTTCAGACTCCGGCTCTGATGAAGCTGTTCAACGAGTCTCTTCGTGGTTACGAGAATGCAATCATAGCCATGAGTTGTGCAGGGGCGCTAACTCGAGCCTGCCGACACGCGTTGTTCTGATCCAAGATCCAGAGAACATAAAGCTGTACGAGACCCGCGGCGAAGTCAAGCCCTATATTTGTCTCAGTCACTGCTGGGGGAAGGGTACAATTAGGAAGACTACGACAGCCACCTTGACCGAACACAAGCGAAGAATCCCTTCGGAGAAACTCCCTCAGACATTCCAGGATGCCATCTCCTTCGCCTATCGGTTGGGATTCGAGTATCTGTGGATCGACAGTCTCTGCATCATACAAGACAGCCGCGAGGACTGGCAAAGGGAAGGCAGCAGAATGGCAGAGATATATTCTGGTGCCGACTTTACTATTGCTGCCACCGACGCAAATATTCCATTGCAAGGCTGTTTCCGCAAACATCCGGAGCGCCCTGTCAGCAAGTCTTCGTATCCGGACAGGAATGGCTCCATGTTGGACGTTAGCGTTCGGTCCAGTATAAACCATTATGCTTGGAAGTACGGCGAATATCCATTACTGCGCCGTGGCTGGACGCTACAAGAATGCCTACTCTCACGCAGAGTGGTACATTTCACAGCCGAAGAGATGTTCTGGGCATGTAGGACGGAGAACAAATGCGAGTGCTCGTTTTGGTGGGACTCCACAACATTGCCTTTCAAAAACTTGCGCAGCCCCAAGTATCTCAACACGATACGTCACTCTGATCCGGCGGAGTGCATAGATTTGTGGCAGGGTATTGTTACCGAATACACCAGTTCGAGCTTGACGTACGAAACCGACTGCTTCCCAGCTTTGCAGGGAGTTAGCAAAGAGTTGTGTCGAATGAAGAAGTCCGCCTATATAGCTGGATTATGGGAGAGCAGTATCATGTATGACTTAATGTGGTACTCCGACCACAAGGACAAGTCATCGACACCAACAGCATGGCGCGCACCATCATGGTCATGGGGATCCATCGTAGGGCGAGTCGTATGGGCAAAGTGGCTTTCAGAGGCTACGCCTTTATCGACTTGCATTGGGAAAGAAATCGTCCCTGCGAGAGGAGGAGACGGATACGGGGAACTATTATCAGCGAAGATCACTCTACGGGGCCGCTGTTTGCTCAGCAACGTGGAAGGCACACATCAGCCCTTCGCATCACCCGAAGAAGCAATCAAATACCCAGACCATCGCGCTTGGAGAAAGTGTCCGCGCAGAATTTACCTCGATCATCCACCGGAATCGGTACATCCGGACAGCAACAGCCCTGTCACGCCTATTGGACAGGTCAAAACCCTGTCCATGGGCGTGTTCCAAGCTGGTGAGAGGTATCTCTTTGCCATGTTGATATTGCAGAAAATGAACAAGGCAGCTGGTACGTACAGGCGGATTGGTTACATGGAACTCGAGACACGCAAGGGTCTTGATATATCCAGTCTTCCGGTGGGTAACGAGGAGACTTTACACATTGTCTAGTGGCATGACAGATGCTTGGAAAGACATCTCATGTAGTCTTCTTGTGCAGAAACAGTCGTGTCAACATACACGAAGGCAGCTGGTCTGTCTTCAGGCGACGTGAGATAGCTCGCGTCTTTTATGAAATCAGAATGGGGAGTGTATGCATAGAAACATGACTTGACACCAAATGATCCCTCGTTCATCAGGTGCGACGTATTCAATTAATAGCAATATAAAGAAATAGGGTGGTATCAGTATCATGCGGATCCCCAAACGCCAAATCCAAAGTACAAAACAACGCCAAAGACAGGTCGGACTGGACATCAACCGCTCCTCTTGATGCTTTTTGGTATCACCGCAATGCTTCATGCCACCCCCAGGCTTCAACCACGAACGCCACGCCACATACCCCTCAACTCCACTACGCCTTCACATTCACCTCAGCTACTTATACTGCGGTACGCCCTGCGGTGGCGGCCCATATCCCGGCGGACCACCATGCGGCGGCCCCTGCCCACCATACGCATTCATCGGCATCGCTCCTCCTTGCACTTTTGTCCCACCACCAAATTGCTGGAGTTCCGGCTCAGGCCGATACTTGATGTCCTGCCAGAAATGGCACACATGGCACCCGACTTCCTTGTACGGCTTGAGGCTGAATGGGATAACGGGGATGAAGCAGAAGGTAAACCATTCCCAGCGCTTCATTACGCGACCCGTGGGGTTGCGGCAGTTTTGGCAGACGAGTTGGATGTTTTCGGCGCCTTTGAGGGCGGATGTGAAGGCTGGGGGGATGTTAGTGAGAGGACCGAGAGGGATGGGGGGAGGTGGTGTGGGCAAGGGATTGGGCGGGAAGGGACTGGGTGTTAGGGAGGAGACGTACTGTGCGTTCCGCAGGTGAAGAAGAAGAACATGATCGCGTGTTATATGCGCGTGTAGCGCAGTACTCGTTGTGATACGTGTATCTCCCTATTCGGGGGCGGATGTCTCGTCGCGGTTGGGTCGGTGGAACGATGCGCGTGCGACAAGTGGTACGGAAGTTACGCGTTCGGTCGTTGGGTGTTGTTCGTATGTGCTACTCGTGTGTGATTGGGCGTGATAATGAGGTTATGTAGTGTTGCGAAGTTTATCTGGAAGGGTGTGGAGTTAAGTGGAATGTGTTGCGATGGGAGGCGTGGGTTTCTGGTCGCTGGTAGAAGACCATTGGCGCCGAGGAAGCTGCGTCATCATCGATGCGTCTCAGCCACACCTGGCGCTTGGCTTGGGGATCCATGGGGCTAGCGGCATTCCCCGCGGCGCTTGTTACATGTATCTCCACGTGCCTAGCTACGTACTTCAGACGTGTCGATACTTTGGAAGATTAATCATTGCGTTGCGCAAAACGTAGAGTGCAGGAGCGGAAGCGTTGGGATATTGTTGAAGTGGATGTGGCGGAGGAGTTGATCGACGGCTAGCTCTTACCTGAAGAGGATTGCTGCGCCCGCATCGTGATTCGCAGTGTATGTCAGT